GATGTCCAATGCCAGGTTGGATGAGGCCGTGAGCAACCTGGGCTGGTTCAGGGCAGCAGCCTGCAAACGCTCACAAGGGTTTGTGAATTATTCCTCTGAGGTCCTTTAAGGGTAACCAAGATGAAGACTGATTTAAAGCCATCCTCAAACCTCAGTCCAATGTCTCTTCCAAAATCAGACAGCTGGCACAGCTGAAGTTTTAACACGTTCCCTGCCTCAAATAAAACGAGTTTTCAACCAGAGGATTTCCTTGACCTGACTTAATGCACCAAAGAGCAAATGCAGGTACATGAGAGGGACCTGAATGCAGCGAGGGCATGATCTGGGTCATCTCAAACCTGTCATTCAACCACAATTAAGCAGAGAAAGGCTACAGCCAGCTGGCGTACACTTGCCACCAAGAACTCTACACCTCCACAGAAAGAAGATCAGGGATCTGCAAATCCCGGTGGGCCGAGAATCGCGATCTGGTGCACTGGAGCTGGCAGTCACTCAACTCCTGGGGCACTTACTTTCGTAGTATTCGAAGCACTTTGCTGTGGGGCTGCTGCTCCAGGTGTAATCCGACGGCTTCTTTCCTCGGTTGTCCCTTGCGTAAATGTTTCCGCCAAACTCAATCAGCATCTCCACCAGATCTACGTTTTTCACTTTCGCGGCGTGGTGGAGGGCTGTCTCGTGAAGTTTAGCAGCATTCACGTTTGCTCCTGAGGCCAGAGAGAGGAAAAAACAAACCTGTTTGGGAAAGTCTTGCTTGACCTAAATGTAAGGAGTGGTTTGACTGGGAGAAGAAATGCCGTTAAAATACGCACAAGCAGCTGGAAGGAGACCCAAACAGAACAGCACAAACAGGAAACCAAACTGCTGAACAAGTTCTCGGTGCTGGCAACGCATGAATTTTCTTCTCTGGCTTTATGTCTTCCTTGCAGAGGAAGGAGCTGAGCCCATGTTACTGAGTAAATAAGCTGCTGAGTGTGAAGTTCAAAATTGCTTCCTGGATCTGTGCTGTCCAAAACCAGCAAAGAGTCTTTCCCAGTCACCTCAGTGGAGTGTTCCCACTCCAGGCAAACAGCGATCTCTTTGTTAACCACTTGAACAGAAATGCCCCAGCCCCATGAGGTGTTACAGCTCACCATCAGACTTTTTCAGTTTCGGGTATTTTTGCTGAGAAAGGTTGACTTTTAAAAGCCAAAAGCTAAAGGTCCTTCCAATTTTCCTGCAACCATTTGTGTTTTGCCAACTGATTTGTTCAGCTGAACCTCACTGTACTCAAACAACTGACTTTTAGATACGCGTAGTCACAGTGAACTCCCCTTATAACTAATGAAGAGACACAGGCACTTCTGGGAAATCAATCAAAGGGTGCCCAAGACGTGGAACTGGAGGGGCTGGGAAGAGCTTAGATGTGTCATTTTTGGACAACTAATGCTCATTGAAACAAATCCCCACCCCTGGACCAAATCACATCCCAGTAAGCACAGGCAAAGCCAAGAAATCCAACTCCAAATTGCCCTGAAGTCAGCAGCAAGAAAACCGGGATGTAAAAACTGGAGCACAAAATATTGAACCACAGAATGTTGGGGTTTGGATGGGACCTCTAGAGCTCATCCAGTGCCACCCCCTGCCAGAGCAGGGTCACCCAGGGCAGCCCCACAGGAACACGTCCAGGCGGGTTGGAAAGTCTCCAGAGCAGGAG